ATGGATCGATGTGACGTGGCCATGACTCTGACGACACGAGACCAGTGTTGCCTGACGCAACCGAAGTTCTGGTTTCGGTTTCTGCTGATGTTTAAATTAATATTACATCAATAATATTCCACATTTCGCGAATCCAAGACGTAGAGCTGTTTAGTAATGTTTTGGGAAATGGAATTGCATATAAGCCAAACATTTTTTTTTAAATTGAGCGGAATTTCTTTTTAAATGGCTAGTGTAGCAACAGCGTAGCCTCCACCGTGCGATGGCAGCGACCGGCGCTAAAACAACGGTAACGTCACGATCTAAGGTGCGTTCCGCTACTTAGCACCACGACGGTGCCGGCTTCGCTCGCGGCCGGGTATAGGCTATACTCCGTTTCACCTTATGTAGTACCGCAGACAAGGCTAGAAGCGCGAGCTCATAGCGTTGGCAGCTACTCTGAACGCACGAGAGCTTGTGCCGCCTTGATGTGCCCTAGAGCAAGGAGCTCGCGCTTGAAGCCTTTTCTACGGTACATCATAAGGTGATACAGAGTATAGGAGCGGGTTGTCGGGTTATTTGGGGCGCGATAACAGGGCTCCAGATTCTTTAAAAATACGTCAATAATTTTATATTATCAGTAAAATGAATGTGCGATAATGGGGTTTGTATTGGGGAAAATAAATATCCGAGAACTACCACAAAAAAAGAAAAAACTACAAACGCGTGTAATAAGGAGGTCGTGAAAGTCGGGTGTTTGCGCAGTGCAGTCGTTCGTTTATTTTTATTATTTTCGCTCAACAGCAGTTGCTACAATGAGAACTTGGGAATGCCCGGATATGATAGCTGCTCACTTTGCTACGTCCATGCTCGTGTGATGTATATAAGATTATGTCATTTTCGCGGACTATTCAGATGGGTTTGATTCATATGGCGCTAGCGACGCGACACAATATTTCATCATTTGATCACATACAGAAGTGAAAATATATCTACTCTATTTTTTCAGCACTTTACAAACTGAGGGAGAATCGTTTGAAGGTGGGTGAGACATGTTAACTTATAGTACAATCTCAAAGTAAGATATGTAAGATTCCTTATCACAGAGTCTACTGCTTTGCGTCGTTCTGCCTTAAGACTTGCCCGCTTTATTTGTGTCTGCATTCCTGCAGGTACTAGCAAAAATAAAAGTCGACCTTTAACGCCCATGCAAAGGTTTCTTTTAAAATACTGTAAATGTGGGAGGTTTCTCACTGCCTCTATGCAGGCACGTAGGCAGGGAAGACCCATGGGGCCCGGCCCCTCCCCCCCCCCCCCCCCGAAATCTTCCATTTTGCTGGGACGCCCTCTCCCCCCTCTCCCTCATGCAGCATTTTGTTATGGGCGGGCCCCCCGAAACAAAATCCTGGCTACGCGCCTGCCTTTATGAGCAAGAGTATATGACTATTTCAAAATATGTAATAAGGAAATTTATTTCGCTTCGCAATGTTCTAGCATTGAACTTTCATGCAAAAAGGATAACTTTATTTAGAGCTACTGTACAGGAGTTTTCTCTCTTCCTTGCTTTCATCTCCGTTAGTGTGGGCTCAGATACCAAGCACTATAAGTAATCTATTCTCTTTTTTGTTCATCTAGAGCTTCTGAGATAGCAGATTGCTAGAAGGAAAGCAATATATTGTTTTATTTATTCCGGTTCACTTCTACAAGAAATGGCAGCAGTCTCAAATTGAGACTGCTGCCATGTCCCCAAATGATGTATTTTATCAAAATAATTAAAGTATGGCAGAAGCGTTGTGGGAATTCTTATCAAAAATATTTGCCAAAATGTTGTTATTATCACACCGCTGATATATCGGTTACCAGGCAATTGTTTTTGTTTCGATTCGCGTTTTGGTTATCGACTAGTCAAAGTAAAAGTTTTGTTCGGGTTGCGGCTACTAAACAAAATTCGCTATTCCATGGTTTTTGCTCGAGCTCTACGGAGTTTTGTTGAGTTTAAAAAAAAAAAAAAAGACTCCACTCATTTTTTTGCAAACATTATTGTTTTGCAGAGAAGCTGTCTATGACTAGGTTCTGAAACATTTTGCGTCCGTGGACAGAGCTTGTAGATCTAGAATTCGCGGTGCGGCCGCCGCTCTTCACGACATTTGTGCGCTGGCAGCGCCCCTTCGCTCCCAATTGGAGGATTGAAAAGAATAACAAAACACGTTATAGCTTACCCACCAATCACAGCGTTTCGTTCTCTTCTGGCGCAATCACCACCGTAGCGACATTATCAAAAGTGGCGCTTTGGACTTGCTATGGGCAAGACGCGCGTAGTTCGCTCTGAGGTAGAAGAACGTGCCCTCAGAGAGCAATAACAAGAGCAAAAAAGCGAATAGGCGCCAAAGCGACCAGAAGCCGCAAGTGGATTGTATCCTTCCTGTTCGAACGGTTTGGAATTGAGTGCTACATGGACTTTAATGTGTCGACCACGCGTCACCGGTTGTGTATAGATTTAACCTTTGGCAAGAGCGTGTCTAGGGCAGCAGTAGAACCGATCGGGGTGTACCACAGCGACCGAAAAGCGATGGCCACTATGGTAACGAATGAGAGAAAATGAAGACGATAACAACCACGAAGTTACGTGTATGTGTCCTTATTCAATCAACATAGCAATAATCATAAAAATGAATATAGTTGGAAATATAGTCATCCCACTACAGCTTCGCTATACTCCGTTTCAATTTATGTTGTACCGCAGCGAAGGCTAGAAGAGCGAGCTCATAGCGTTAGCATCTGCCCTTGGTGCACGAGAGCTTGTGCCGCCGAGATGTGCCCTAGAGCAAGGAGCTCGCGCTTGAAGCCTTTCCTGCGCTACAACACAAGGTGAAACAGAGTATAGTTATCCTTCTTCACAAAATGAAAGGGCACTCGGTTTTTTTTTTCACTCAAAACTAGTAAGCACGTGTCTATTACTTAATTTTACCACTTTGTTGTACCTAAACGCTTCTTTCATCTTATCTTAGTTAAAGCTAGCATTTAAGCCTCCGTAGCTACCCCACAATATCTACTGTGAATTTATTATTTTACGTCGTTCACTATATCTGGTGATGTTAAGTATCTGTGTGTATCGTTAGTTTGTATGACCATCTTGTACGGTAATTAGAAAGAATTATGCATATGTTTTTAACATTTATCAAATTAATAGGTACAATTAGCATAATACATTAGAACATGCAATTTCTGGAATTCTACAATTTTTTTATCGCATTTATTGTTGCGGTAGGTGCAAGAGTTAACATAGGCTGTGAACGGAGCCAGTTGACAAACTGATTATATGAATACATTGTAAGTACTGTTCCTAAGTGTAATAACAAAACCATAATAAAAAAAGAACAGAAAAAATGAAAGACGCCTACAACTTGTTGAAACGCCAATTTAGAGCGCAGCTCTTGACGAGGAGGATGGGAGGGTACTGAGGGAAGGGTATACCCCTCTTCCTCGTACGTACCCTCTCCTCCTCCCCTCCTCCTTTTTTCACGCGCAAAACGCGGGTCGTCACGCGAAGTTTCGGCGCGGTGCCGAAACGTCACTTGATGTTTCGGTGAAAGTCACGGTGACATTTCGGTGAAAGTCACGGTGACATTTCGGCAAGTGTCTTCCACCGAAACGTCACGAGTGACGTTTGGGCACCGTGACGTTTCACGTTGGTGACGTCTCGGCACGGTGACGTTTCGGTGGAAGTCACGTGCCTAAACGTCAACGTGACCTACACTGAAACGTCGCGGGACCATTCGGCGCCGTGCATTCTGGGACGTTTTCCATAATTCACCGCGCGGTAACGCCGACGCCGACGCCGCTCAAGCCAGAAACGGGCGCCTAAAAGCTGCACTCTTAAAATAGGGGCTGCTCTAGTTGTCGCACGTACGGTTACCAAAAAGTCTTCATAGGGATATGGTTATCGGTACAGAACGAGATTAGAGAAGGGATAAAGCTACATTTATTACAATATCCAATGAACCGTTTTCATATAAAGACGATACGAAGTCGCTCAAACTCCATGGCTACGACTGCTGGAGGGAATGAGGGCTGCGATAAATTCCCTGCCTTTTCCGAAGCTGATCCGAGCCGCGGGAGAGTCAGTAGAGGTGGTGCGACCATTCTTTCGGACGCCAACCGAAGCTCGAGCTTTCGCCGCTGCGAGAGGAAGGCATGCGCATGTGCAGAACCCTATTAGGAAAAGAATAGTAACGATGAAGACCTAACTAGCGTCCACTGACACGCCCCACGAATAAACATGTGAAACCATGTGCCACGCGTCCACGAAGAGACTCCTACCGCTGTCTCATCTTGTCTACCGTCCGGATGAGTGCTTAGGTAGCACGAATTTCAGATTGAAACGCGTGTTAGAGCGAGCTACATGATCATGGATTGCACTCACGATCGCAGGCGATCAACAGAACACCGTCATCTGCAGTTGAAAAGAGCGGACACAGAACAAAGACGCTCACAACAGTGTCGGCTGCTGCGAATGCGTCGCGGCGACCGCGGTGCTGCATGCACAAGCGCCTCCACGCGGTCATTTTCCAGCGCGAGTCCGTACCTCCAGCTTTGTTTCTTACAATACTCCTTTAAGCCTCCGTAATTATAATAAGCGTGTCCAATGTTGATAATTCCATTAGACTAGCTGGTATGGTGACCGTTTGCCATCAGTTTCTAGTGGTGTAAACAATACAAGAAGCTTTTAAAAGGTCGGAGCATATCTTTGAAGTTGCAGTGACATGTGTCCTGACGCAGCATTTAACGTGCGCATATGGCCCTCGTAGAAATGTCGGTTTCACCTCTTGACACATATATCATGCAGAAAATCTACACAATCGCGAACAAAGAAAGTCCGAGTACCACAGCGGTAGCTACGGAATAAAATAAAATAAATTTACGAAACATTTTAAAAATGGTCCTGGATTTTCGCGGCTATATAACGCTCGAATGCAGTGGGCATAACGACTCACAACTTGTTTGAGAACAATACACCGACTATGTGGTTCACCGGGATCCCGCTCCTGTTGGGTGAGTTTTGAAATTACTTAGACGATTGCATTGAAAGTATTGTTAAGCACTGCTGCTATGTGTATGACGCTCCACTTACTTTGTAATAAATATTTGCAACCTGAGCACGTATGAAATGATTCCGTTTAGTCAAGTCTATACTTTTTATTTATTGAATTAATAGGAACATATGAAATCATTACGAACCTTCTGGGATTATATCAAGTAAATCAGAGCTAAATTCAGATTTGTCTCAGTTTCAGTGCTGCCCGTAATACGGGTGAATAAAGCCATACAAGCTATTACACTCAGTCGTGAAGCTGCATATTTGAGATACCCGATGTATTTACCTCTTGTCGATATCATTACAGAAACTACCTTACAAGCGAAACATATTGTATCGCGACGAATTGCGCTGAGCACGTCACCAAGGAAATGGCTTCTGCGCAACAACTTGTCTCCTCTAATGTTTACTTAATAAGCATGTGCTGAACAGTAATACAGTCGTATCTCGTTGATAAGGGTTACATTAGTATGAATACCCCACTATATGGACTCGATTTCCAGGGACAGACTGGGAAAATGCGTGATTCTTTCTCTCGTCATTATAGACAACTCACATTATGGGCGATTTTTTTCCCGGGAACAGCGATGTACATATTAGTGAGACATCGCTGTATATGTTTTGAATAGGGTTGAAGTTGAAAAACTAGAATATTACACGAATAGCCTTGGAATGCATAAAACCTGTTCCGAGAAAGGGGCTTCCTTCTGCATTTCGACAAACGTTCAGTAACCGTGTCAATCACCTTTGATTTCTGCTTAGGCCCGTTCGAATGTTTGGTAACGTAGTAAATCTTTAAGATATAAATCGTGAACACTTTCAAAAACCAGAGGTTTTGGTTTCTACACACGCTAAAATTTCCGTTTACCATTGGTTGAGTGGGCTGTGTTATCAAGGACATGTACACAGTTTGGTGCATTGTTTTACATCTTTTATTAAAGCTGGCTTAACCCCTTTCCCGTGGAATTGCAATATGCCAATCGATATTGTGTTCAGCGAAAGTATTCTTGTCACAGTTTATGCATAATTAAATGCCTCGCTCGAAATTAAATTTATATAACTGCATTCCTAACTCAAACTATGTTCGAGATGTAAACTTAATAAAAATAGCCGTGGATCTGGGATCTCAGAACGCTTCCCAGCTTCGAAATAATGAAGTTGGTTACCGTGTTTGCCAGTGCCTCCGTTACTGCCTCTTAATGGTAAACTGAAGGCCTTTTTACGCTGAACCACCTTTTACGCTGAACCACATCCGCGATCTGTTAGTTGTACTGATGCACGCGAAGAAGCGATTACAACTTGAATGATGTTGCATATAATTATTATTATACTAATAAATGTGATTATTATGTATAGGAAACAGAACTTCCATTAGTATTTTACGCGTGGCGTACATGAATTGGTTTTTGTATGTTTTAATGCCTCCAGCGTCCCTGGCCTTCTCAGGAAGCGCTGCTGATGAGGAATGCAAGAACGGAACAAGACCCGCCTCGGTGACAGTTTATTTTTTATTGTTCAAGTGGAAACGTGTCGTGTGTCGATTCATGAATAAAAACTAGAGTTCCGAGCCGTCCACGTTTTTGTCAACAGTTTTTCCAGAGAACACAAAATGGACCTAAATCGTGCAAAAAAAAAAATATTTCATGGCTCAAATAAATAACACTCGATCCTCACTGTGAAAATAAGTTATCGCGAATAGTCCTTGCAACTTGGTTCTTATGTTTATTCTTTTCACAGCACAAAGATGGAGAAGGCTGCGACTATTACTGCATGAACAATTCAACCAAACAATGGGACCATTTTTTCTATGGGGACGGTGAAAAATGCTTTGTGAGTACCAAACCTAATCTTGTTAACACAGCTACGGGCTTTCCCGACTGCTGGAGTTATGTTCCACATAAACAAATTCTACCTTTACTCTTTTTTTTTTTTTTCAAGCATGTTCACTGCAGAAATCTTACAATATGCGACAGAAAGAGGCGCACATCCGGTTTTCTTTAGTACCTTTATTCAGGTTGATGCCGAAGGTTACCACTTTTTGTTTAATTATTCACCATCAATGATATATCTGGAGACGGTATGATACTATCGTACTATCCTGGGTTTGATTTCTAGTTTATTCATTTGTGTATGTTCAATGGTTTCGGATGCGACGGTGACTTCTGAAACTTTCGAATCTATTAATTGCACAGGGGTAGCGATGATGTCAGAAGGCCGAGCTCTCATTGGCTGATTGAAAAAAATTGTGGGTAGACCTTAAGGCATCTAGCCTTTATGTCTACCCACTATCCTTTCAATCAAAGCCAATCAGAGTTCTGCCTTGTTCTGACGTTACCGCAACGCGTGAGCAAGACGCAGACGCTTTGGTCTCCCTATAAGCTAAAAACATTGCGTTCTAACAGTGAGTCAAAACAAAATACAGGTATCTTGACTTTCCCTGCAAGTTTACTGAGGCTACAGTCGTGGCGCTGCATGCCCCGCTGCACACGGTCGATGCACAATCACTATTTACCAGAATCGAAAAGTTGGCAAAAGTGCAGGAATTCCATTGCCACGTGATACTGGAACGTAACCTGAAACCGTGGCATCACATTACTATGACCTCACAGGGCCAAGTAGCGTCATGTAACGTCGCACTGTTCGGTGATATCATATGAACGTGATATGATTAAGGTCAAGAACTTCATTTGGCTTCATGGTGTCCCGTGATAGCACGTGACCTCAAAATGTGTCCATGTATCTAGCGGATCAGCTTTTCCATAAATTTATCAGGGGAACACTTCTTGTGACGCCAACGTAACGTGACTTCATAATTTCTCCGTTGAACGTTGCCTGGAAGCTTTGTTGCTCTATTTAGTGAGAAATATTTTGCGCTGTACTTAGCAAGAAAACGAACCATGCGACGTCCCGTGACGTGACGTCAAATGCCGTTGCTATTTCTCCGCTAAATTTAGTGGATAAATTTAAGGGGCAACGTGACGTTGAGCTTGGCAGTCAGCCGTCCAAATTTCATGCACCGCCACTGTTCTGCCTGCAGCCTTTAAATAAGACCTACTTCAAAATGGCGGCACTTCAGCCATCCTACAATCATTAGATAGCTTTAGAGTAGGGGGCCCCGAAGCTTGCGGGCCCAACAGAAATAGGGGCTCCCCACTGCGCATGCGCAGAGTCCAAACTCTGTTTGGGTGTCTGGGTTGTCGCTCGCCCCCAACGCAGAATTCGAGAAATAGCGTGGGGCCCCGAATTGCTTGGGGTCGGGTTGCGTCGGCAAACATATGGCGGCGCCCTTTCCGCTCGCTTCGGAGCAAATTCGTCATAGTCGCTGCAGTGTTGGCCAATTTCATTGCTAATTAATGGTGCGACCTGCTTTTGCTTTGCTTTATTTCTCTCAAGTCACAAAAAATGAGCGGTGCAATCGCCCTGTTTTAAAGATTGTCCCCGATTCTGGACGTTTCTAATCCTAAGGAGACGCGGTAAACGTTGACATGACAACCTATACATTGCTACTACGTGGTTTTGAGTGGATTTCGTTCGAGGCATGATATCTGCAGCTTTAAAAGAAGTATTTCAAAGCTTCAAAGTCGCTCCAGCTCAGATCTAAATAGAGCAGCTGCTCGCAGAATATGTTCGCTTGCGTTGGTCTCAGTTTGGCCATAGTTGAAGGCCTAAATCTTCGGAGACAGGTGGTCAAAGCGCGCACGAACGCCTCAAAAATCTGAAACGGAGCGCCGAATTAGATCGCGGTAAGGATTGGATTGTTTTCGCTGAATACAGCCAACAACATTTACACTGATTTTAGATTGTCTCTTGTTTTAGCCGGCTTGATTGTGATTTACTTTAACTTTTATTTGTAAACAAAAAGTGCTTCCTAAGCGCGTATGGTTTACGTTTATTAATATTTTGTTTTTAATTATTACGCTCGTTAGCCGCATTGGCGCTGCAAGCGGAAAACGTAAGCGCGCTGTGCTGCGTTGTGAAACCCCTATTCTGAAGGGCTGTTTACACTCCAACGCCGACGAACGCGATGCGCGCCGGCGCAGACCGACGTTCATCGGCCACTACGCCGCGCCGAGAAGAGCCCGAACGATGGTGTCTACAGTCCAGCGTAGACCAACGCTGGTCCAGCGTGCCCCGACGAACTGCCGCACTTTGCGCATGCACGTCTCCGTGGCAACCGCATCGTCTGTACGGGTTATCTATGGGCGGTAGGTTGCGCTACCTAGCCTAGATGCAATCGGTCAGTGTGGCTCGTCCTCGTGTTGTCATGTCACGCTTCAAAACAACCATTTGGGTAGCGGTTAGCAGTTCAAAACCAAGCAAATGATGATGATGACAGGTGTAAACCTGCATTTATTTTCTCATAAGTGTCACACAAATGTCAACTAAAAAACAAGAACGAAAAAGGAAAAAAGCACGATATCGCGTCCGTCGAACCTAGTTACTTCGCTAGGTTCGACCTAACGCAACCTTGTTGCGCTTGGGTGCCCCACTTTCTTAGGGGAACTGAAACGTTGAGGCCCCTTATTCTAAAACTCTCTATTATTGTCACTTACCAGAAGCTGTGTCTGAAATAGCACGAAACGCTTCTCTGTTATCTATACAGGTAAAAACAGTCCGGTCGACAAAGCAAAAAAACTCTCTCTGAGCATCTCGAAACCGCATATTAAGCTCAAGAAGTTGAAATTTATAAAAAGTAACTATCGTCCATGGCGCCCTCTTTGGACTAAGCTTTGAAATGGCGGCGCCGACAAGAAACTCGCCGAATGGGGAGCCGATGCCGCACAAATAATAGAAGCAGATCTAGTTTGTGGGGCACGCGACGATGACATCTCTGAGACGTTAGAGAATGAGTTTGTTAAGCAGACCTGGTAGGTTCTAGGTAGCCGATGTAATTGCCCTATTTAAGTGTGTATCGCCAATCTGGCGTGGTCTAAACAGATTAACAAAAAAAACATAACAGTTTTAGAACGCGCGAGCAGTTCAGTGGCGAAAAGTATTACCTGTATTTTGACAAGGTGGAGTACCATGATAGGTTTGGAGTTTGGAGGCCCATAATATTAATAAACTGATGCTACCTGCCGTGGAGTCGGCCGACCTCTTTTTTCAATGCAAGACTGCCTTTTTAATAAATTTAAAAATTGCTAAATTATCCTCTCAGGCAAATATGAAGGCCGAAAATTCAATAATACAGGAAGAGATAATATCGCAAACCACTTGCCCATACTCATAAAAAAAAATATAAAATATCAACACCGGAGACGTTGAACCTATTATGACGAAATGAATATAATTGCTAGAGTTCTCTGAAATTATAGTTGTCTGAAACTAGTTCAAAGCGTGTTTGTTTTTTGCATATAGTAAGGTATCTCTTATCTTACTCTCGTATGCGTTTTGTCCAATAAAATAAATAAATTGGGCACATGACTTCCAATGAAGTAAATAGGGATATTGTGTACGTACGCTCTATTTGGCCGGATTGTTTATGGTGCACAACAAAAAACTAATTAAATAATTTAAGCAAAAAATAGTTTTAATCAAATCGCGCAATAATGTAACTTGTGGTGATTTCGGATTTCAATGGAGAAAAAGAAAAGAGGATGACGACGAGGAAGAATGCTGAGAGAGAGAGAAGTGTTGAAAAGAAAGGAAACCTAGAGAAGAATGCTGATGTGGCTGGTTGACTGTGTGTTTGTGTGCACGGAGGAAATTCGGCGCGAGTGGCCGGTGGTGGAAAAAGAAGAAGGAAGCCAGGAGGCGACAGAACAGGACAAGCGATTAGGAACCGGTGGACGAAAACAACCGACCCGCAGCGATAGGCGTGGTCGGCACGGCTTCAGTTCGTCGTCCACAGATACAGGCCTGGTCAGCGTGCCTCAAAGGCCGCCCGGACACTACTTCGAACCCCACCCTTCAAGCCATCCCGTTGTCCACTACCGGCCCCAACGCGCCAATCTACCTGGCATCACGACTTTGGAGTCTCAACCATGACCACAATTCAAACCCGCTTCACGCGCACTGTGATGTACTATTCTTTAGTTACCCTTTAAGTGTTAGATTTTCCGATAATTAATTTTTGGATTTGCTCATTTTTTAGTTGTTTAACGCTTTAATACATATTTTTGCTGGCCCAAAAATGTCGTCTCTTTCTCCATACTCTTCGCGTCGCACACCCACGCAAGCGTGAACACGGTCCACTATAGTAACATATCCAGTCCTGTGCAAGTTTGCGATGTGTCTGTAATCGCAGCAGCTCAACGTTTTCTAATTAGAATAATATTGCATTTCGATTTTCAAAAACGGATATAAACAATATATATAAATAAATTATATATATATATATATATGTATATTTACTTAGCACTCGTACTGCATGTTACAACTTAGGCACAGTTCAAACTCGATTCTTTTTGTCTTCTCTTTTTCTCGCAGTACAAAGAGGGCAATTTAAGAGGCACTTGTAAAGAAGGAATTTGCAATTTGGATGAAAACAGTCCCGAGGATAATCCGGAGACCCCTAACGATGGTGATGGGGATGATGATATAAAAGATGATGATGAGGAGGAGAAGGATGATGATGATGATGATGATGACGACGACGACGACGACGACGACGACGACGATGAGGATGATGATGATGATGACGACGACGACGACGACGACGACGACGACGACGACGACGACGACGACGATGATGATGATGATGATGATAGTGATGATGATGGTGATGATGATTATTAGGAGGAGGAGGAAAAGGCGGAGGAGAAGAAAGAGGAGGAAGAAAAGGAGGAGGAGGAGAGAAAAGGGTAGAAATCGAAGTTGAATAAGAAGAGGAAAGAAATCAAAAACAAGATAAAAAAAATAAAAAAAAATATTTGACGGATAATTTCCCGAATAAAAGCACCGAATCTAAACGATGCTTAATAAACTTGAAAAACAGGAAGTTTCTTCTGGGTACAATGTTTTGAAACGTAAAGTTCTTTTGTTTTTGTTTTTTTAAGCCCGATATTGTTACAAATTATGTTGAAACATTTCCTGCCGTATTTCACTCCTTTTACTGGTAGCCACTTTTTGACAGCTGCGTATTATTATTACGAACGCCGCTGCTGGTACCGCTTCTAACCGACCCTGTAATTTCATTGATATGTTTAGGGAATCTAGAGACTGCATTGGACGCGTAGCACGGTCAACCTCGGTTGCGTAAAACGTAATAATAATGACTGTAATTTCGGCTTAGATTCAGTGCTTGCTTACTCCATTTGTAGTCAACAAACAAATATAAATGGAAAATAAGCAACACGTTTCATTGTAATAAAAACGTTCAGCCTTTTCACTCTCGTGAAGAAGGAAGACCAGCGGAGCTGTACTCGATCACGGTGTAAGAGACACTCTTCAGGTGAGGACACGGCGGGGCTGAACGTGGGACGCGAGGAATCAGGTTGTGTGCGTTCGACGGGCATCCGAAAGGCTGCATTATTTCGCGGCCATCGTGCCCGCGGCTGACAGTGTCGCCGGCGGCCAAACGGCGATACTGTGTGAGAGCGAAACAAACTATCTCGTTGCCATGACACCCCGGTACACCGTGGTCTTTCTGCACGAGCGACAACCTCGCTGGAGCTCTGCGTGTGTGGACCATGAGGCGGCACGAGCCGTCTTTGCCGTGCCCACGGGTCGACGAGTCACCTGCCGGCGCCGCTTGAAACCATAGTGAGAGAGAGTGAAGAGCGAACTTTATCGGGCACGTCGCCAGGAGCGCGCTGTCCTCACCTGAAGAGTATCATCTTACACCGTATACTCGATACACTGTGTGCTTCTTCTTCGTCGTCGTCTGTTTTTCGCGCTGTTTCCTACGATGAATTCCCGCCAACGCGCCCAACTATTCATTCTTCATTATAGCTCGAAAGGCTGCCGCCATCTACGAGCGACGGCGGAAACCATACTAATTCTGTGCTTGCCGCCGTCGCTTTTAGATGGCGGTAGCTGTCCGGTAGGTTTGCGTCGACGTGCACGGACACGATCCTGGGGAACCCTCCGCCGTAAAAAAAAAGGACGTTTATATGGTTCAATTCAAAAAATGCCTAATGCTAATATGAGAGATATAAGAGAGACTGGAACAAGTTTACGAAAACGTATGAATCTACATAAAGGTCACATTCGTCCACTCGTTCCCGGACAAGTTTGTCCTCACTTTAACTCGTAGGAACTTAACACAGTTTCTGAATTTAGTCCTATTATACTTCAAGGTGGCTTTAGAAAAGCCGGTGACCGGAAAAAAAGGAACCTAGATTAATTTATAAATTCAAGACTCTAGAACCGAAGGGCCTTAACATTTTTAAAGGAACAGTACCGTCGATTTCCTTGATATTTTATATATACCATTTAATCGATGCCACACTGCTCTTTTCTTTCTTTCTTTTTTTCTTGTTTAATTGTCTAATACAACACGAGGGAATATATTATTAAATGACAAACTTATTACAACACCAGGCAGTGTTGGCTTCACGCTAACCGTATGTCTGAAAACTGCTTTTACCTAAAATAAATCCTTCCAAATCTACCTCTTTCAAAATACCTCAAACTCCCGGAGCACACATTTGATAAGTTATCAGTAACACTTCTAGAATTTGTATTTGAATCACATCGCGAATGCGAACAGCGCGAATCCTCTATATTACACCGATTCAACGCAAATCAAATTAAAACGTTGGGTGTCGCATTTCGGGGACGTCCATCCATGAGTCCATGCGGTTCAATTACTTGGCTTTATGAATAGCATCGTCAATTAAACGTGGCTGATAACCTTGGTTTTCTAATACAGCCTTATAAGTTTGGCTATTAGAATCCAACGTAAATTAATAAATGAAAGTCCAGGAACATTTGCATCGATTGCAGCATTATAAAACCCCCCAAAATAACAATGGGACGGCATTTCTTATGCCAACGTATTCTTGACAGTGGTGCTGTTTGTAGCCGGAATTGAACCATGGAGGTTTTTTCTCTTATTTGGAGGTGTAATATTTGTTTTCTTTTTCATATCCGTGTACGTGCACATACACACACACATACACATGGTGTTTCAGGAAAGTTGGACAAATTTGATATTCCGAAAACTGCGCATCGCGCTTAAAAAAGGTTTGCGTCGTTGTAGTCCTAGGCCAGGGGCCTATTTAGGAAAATTATTGAAGTTCTAGATAAATAAGTTGTTATTTATTTCCAGAAAATATATATATATATATTTTAATATTGAGTTTAAAAGTACAGTTTTTGTAAAAATTTTCCAGAGCATAATCGAAAAACATTAAATCAACAAATTACAAAACGATAGAAGGCACGCGCCATATTTCACAGCGTTCTGAAAAACCGCACAACTTCGACGGGTTTTTAAGTTTCGGTTTGAAATTGGGGAGCCTCTCGTCACCGACGGCGCCGCACCCAGTGGAGGAATAGTGCAATTAACCTATGCTGCGCTGTCTTCGGGAAACGGAGGGCAGGCTGTTTGCATTGTTTTCTCACGGGTTGCGGTGCCGTCGGTGTCGATTGAAAACCGAAACTTGAAAACCCGTCGAAGTTGTGCGGTTTTTCAAAGAGCCGTAAAATACCACGTGTGCCTTCTATCGTCCAGCAATTTCTTGATTTAGTCTTTTCGATGATGCTCAGCAAGAGTCTAATTGAAACTATGCCATTAAACTCAATATTTAAAAACTTAATTACGTGAAAACAAATTCACAACTTAATTATCCCGAACTTCACTAATTTGCCTTAATAGTGCCGTGGCCTAGGACCAATATGACACAAGCCCTTTTTTTGTGTGTGTGATGCGTAATTCTCGCAATATCGAATTTGTCCACCTTTCGTGATACACCCTAGCTGTGTATATATATAGTATTCCACGTAGCTTGAGCGAAGGTTTAAAAATATTTGCTGCATTTTAGGAAGAATAAACCAAACGAATAAGTTTGTCCGTTGTTTGGAGCAAGTCAGGGTCTTTTTTCCCCGAATTAATTAATTATTTAATTAGGATTATTATTAAATTTCGAAACATTGAATATAGAGCGACAGTTCCAATGACAAAGTTGTACAGCGCTCTCAGAAACATCCAATTCAGTGATTTTTACCAAGAAACTTTACAACTTTTTTTTTTTAGTGGGCTTCGTAAAGAGTTTGCCAATTATAGAAAAATAACATGTGACTGCGCACGTTAACCTTGTATTACAGCGCTCTCAGCAGTGGCTTGAATAAACTAGGCCAGAATGCTGAATAGAAGACTGCTAACTGAGCGCTGTTGAGAAAGTCGAGTTTTTTTTTGTTTTTTTTTTTATATGATTTGGGCGTTTTTTGTTTTGTTTTGTTTTTAAGCCTGGAGAAACGAACTGTATTAGAGGTTTCTCGACAAATCCCACTGAAATGAATATTTCCGAGGACGCTCTACAACTTTGCCAATGGAACTTTTGCTTCAAATTGAATATTCCAAAAGTTATTTCATAATAACAATTAATAAGTTTATTGGGCAAATTAGAAAAAAATACCCTGACTTGCGCAAAACAGTGAACAAACATTCCTTCGTACAGGTAGAAGAGCGCGTCGAAAAACTACAGAATGCACAGAAAGAATGAAAGACGTAAAGGACGAACACAGAAACACACAATTCTTTCAATGAGCAATGAACATTTATGAGATGCCCATGGCGCTACGACCTTGAACTCCAAAGAATTGAAAGGAAGAAAACGAAAATACTCAAATTTAAAATAAAACCAAATTACTGACATTTTTTAAAAATACGAAGTTAAAATGATAGGAACAAAATTATGGAAATTAACTACTGAAAAAAGGGAGAACAGGAAGAAGAAAATAAAAAGAAAAGAAAGGAAGGCAATTAACCCCTAAAAAAGGGGGAAAGGCAGAAGAAAAGAAGGGAGAAGGAGGCAAAATTAATAATTGATCAAAAAGAGCATTTTTAAGATAATTCCGGCAAGTGGAACTCCAGCTCTTTTCACGATAACGCCAAAGAAGGCTCGGAGACATTAGGGACTTTTAGCAAACCGTTTCCGAGCTCCGCGTACCGCACTAGCGGAGCCTTTGAAGCTCGACCAACTCTATACTTACGACCACTCCATCTGAGCACTCCCTGTGGAAGAGCCTGCTCCCGGCTGAGGGCCGAGTTTTAGCGCCGCCTAGTGAGAAGCGTTCTCACTAGGCGGCACGAAAACTCGGTCCTCCTAAAGCCCCTCTGTCCTGGGAAATTGGCGCCATTCTTTGAACTAGCCGCCGCGCACACTATTGGCCCGTCGTCACGTGACATCTGCCTTTCGGTTTTGGACTTCCTGTCGTCATGAATTTCCCAAGATGTTGCTACGCCGCAGCTGACGGGCTGCTGCGCCCGTAGAAAAGTCGACCGGAAAGCTTTTCGGTGATCCCTCGGTTCCCTCTGAACGGGAAATGAACCTCGGAGGAAGATCTTGCTGCACCAAATCGGTCGAAAATAATTCAACCCGACGGGAGCCGCAGAGTTATGCGAGGTGAGGGCTCTGTATAAAGCGGGAGGCACTCACTTGATCGAATGACGTTTTAGCGAACGCCCACGTTTCACCGAATGACACTTTAGCGAATAGTCAGACGCCGCGAAGCGGCGTTTTCGGGTGGGCCAAATGGGTTCACATTTTTGTAATGAGCCGCCGCAGACTGTCGCCGCGAAGCGGCGTAAAGCGCAGCGCGGCGGATGGGTTAACGTGCGCCCCCGTTATTCGCTGAAACGTCGATTCGCTCAAATGTCGCCGTTCGCTAAAATGTCATTCGCTCATGTGATATGGACCCAATATAAAGCTCATTAGCATGCAAGAAGACAGCTGTTTATATAGACCTTTGTCCGGAAGTGCTCTTTTTAGCCTCGACCGCAAGGAGCAAAAGCGAACAATAATCTCGAACCCAGACGCTCACGGGGAGGGGGGGCTGCGTCGGCCTGCGCCGCCGCTTCCCGTCGAGGGCTTCTTCGCTGGTGTGCCGACTGCCGTTTCGCCGGCATCGGTCCTGTTTACCGCGGTATGTGAGTATAGTGCCCGTAATTTGAGAGCCGGGTGTCCATACGCCACTTTGCCGCTGTTGGTTTTTATCTAGCCGAGCCAGAAAACATCTCGCGACGAGTTGACCGCGCCGCGAGTGACGAAGAAAAAGCAAACATGGCGACGGTTTGTGCGATTGCTTTGATGGCTCCGGTGTTGAGTGTCTTCAACGTCCTCGTGAGAAGGTTCCCCTGCCCTTCGAAGTTATTGCAAGCACCACGAAAGATGTGGAATCATCGTCTCAACTACAAATAAGCAGGCCTTCACGAGCAACAACGGCGCCGAGCAGGCGCTCGGCACAGTTGTGTCAGGCTCACGCAGCCAGCGGCACAGTTGTGTTGGTTGTGTCGTCAGATGTTCAACAACGCCGAGGTATTTTCATTTATCATTTGGAATGGCTTCAAGAGTGGGAAATTAATCTATTTCGCGGATTGTTCACGCCGAGGCGAGTGCCCTCCGTTGCAGTGCCGTCGTCGCGCAAAGTGCAGAGCAAACCGGGTGGCGATGGCGGCGGTGCTCTTTGATCTTGCGCCGTCGGGTTCATGAAGTCCGGAGTAAACGTACGTACGTGCGTCTGCTGGATCGGTGTTTTGGACTTCCTCAAAACTCTTCTCACGCGCATTTTCTTGTGAAGCTTAGTAGCTCATTACACCTCATCGTCGACTGCGCTCATTTGACTACGACGGACGAGCCTGCGTGATGTGAATTTCACTGCCTAAGATCCTTGGTGTGCTAATAAAACGAGGGCTAATAAAATATCACCGCTAACTTCTGAACAAACGAGTCGAAGTTTCGTCTGCTATCATAACTGATCGCCTGTCACAATATTAATCAGTAGCGTTCCTAGACTCCGCCCCCACAGGCACCGTGCTTCGTTGCCCGATAGTAAGTGTCTCCTGGTACCTTGTAGAATTCCAGCTCCCACTTCAAGTAAGTACCATCCTTTAGAACTGGCAATCAATAGTTTCGAACCCAGACGCTCGCAGTGTGTGTTTGTGTGTGTGTGTGTAGGGGGACGCGTGCTAACATACTCGGAGCCCTCGTTTACGCCGCTTCGCAGCGGCAGACAAGGTGCCACATCACAAAAGAAAGCTAATCCGAGCTGTCTATCTAACTAGACCCATTCGCTAGTCATTCGATGAAACGTCGTCGTCTCGTTTTCATTCGCTAAAACGGCGTTCGATCAAGTGAACGCCTCCCACTTATTTCGGCTCGGCAGAGCCGCGCTGCCGCAAAAAGGCAAGCAGATCGCGAAAATCGGTCTCAAACGTGCCACGAATGTAATGTCGTATACAAGAAGCCAACAATCAAGCATTTGAAAGCTACAAGAAAGCGGTAGCGAAATATTTACTACGCAATAAACCCGGACTGAAACGCGGATGTCAAGGGTCAGCAGACACCGAGAACATCTAAGACAAAAAAGGTTTTCCCTTATTTTCCTTGATCGAGATGGGTTCTCGAATGTTCACGACATCTTGCCTGTTGAAAAACGGGCCGCAGAGGCTTCTGGTGAAGACATCTTTCACGATGTGTCGGAGCATTCGGACAGCCAGCCGCATCCAGCTACCCAAAGCAACGCCGCCAACGCAGCCCCCCCTCCCTGCCTGCCAGTTCTTTCCGCACCCAACGCCACAGCCCTCCGTGTTTCCAACCCTACAAGATATTGGAAGGCTCGAAAGATTAATTCACGAGCTTGGCCAAACAATTGAACACCGTATCGATGCGATTGAAAAAAGGCAGGAAGCCAACGAGACAGTCCAGCGCAAGACGCGAAAGAAGACCAAGCAACCCGCCCCCAGTGACCCACCTAGAATTACGCCCTCCGACGATGAATGCGAACAGTACCATAGTGGTGAACCCTAAAAGGTCTCCCCCAACACCACTGATGATTTGGCAATGGAATTGTCGCTCATACCGCGGCAAGCAAAATTCACTATCACTGTTTGCAAACGTACATTCACCGGCCGTTATCGCTCTTCAGGAAACTGGCACAGATCAGATAACGCTCAGGGGGTACACCACGTTTATCACCGATCCTGCCTCACGAACGGCCACTTTGGTTCAGACAACTCAGACAGCGCAGGCACACACCCTCCCCACAACTTTGGACTATGTTTTCGTAGAACTTATCCCAAAAAAGAAGACACAAGCCAGCCTTTTCATCCTCAACATATATAGCCCCCCATCGTCACCCCTCAATGAAATTGACCGCCTCTTCAAGACCGTTAGACAAAGAACAAAAGGGCACGGACTGGTGATCATTGGTGATTTCAACGCGCATCACACAATATGGGGTTACCATAGGGACAACAAAAAAGGAAGGCAACTCCATGAAGCCATTAGACAAAACAATCTTCACTTGTGTAATGCCCCAGATACCCCCACGCGGATGGGTAATAGTGTCTCACGAGACACTACTCCGGACCTTACGCTTACTTATGGACTCAAAGATCCAACGTGGGAATGCCTCACAGAAACATTGGGAAGTGACCATTATATCATACAGCTACAGCTCCCCCATCATGAAGCAGCAGCACAAAGAATACGCACTGCCCGTCTCACCGATTGGAGAAAATTCCGGGAAATAACACCCACCAGTCCCATCCACGCGATTGAAGAATGGACAGCACAAATGTTGGAGGCAGCTAAAAAGCACACTAAGGAATTACCGTTAACCCAAGACTGCCCCGCAATTGACGCACACCTCTTACACCTATGGGAGGCCCGACGAGGGCTAACAAAACGCTGGAAAAAACGGAGAACCAATCGAAAACTTCGTCTTCGTATAGCCCAGATAACACTAGAAGCGGCAACATATGCCATACACCTCAGCCAACAGAATTGGTCGCAGTTCTGCACGAAGCTACAGGGTACCCTCGGCACCCGGCGCACGTGGCACCTGCTTCGGTCCCTTATGAGCAACAAAGAATCCAGATCGACCGCAGTCCATCAGCTCAGACGGCTTATTCATAATTATCAAGGCACAGAAGAAGAGCTCCTCGAGGAGCTCAAGAAACCGTGGCATGATACGAGCGACAAGACCCAGCCTCCCGCCCAACCGTACATGGGTACTCCCAATCCCGAAATTTACGCCCCCTTCACGCTTGTGGAGATAGAAGCAGCGGTTTACAACTTAACCAGGAACACCACGCCAGGCAAAGACAAGATTCGCAATAAGTTAATCCGGAACCTCGACGTCACTGCGTTGGAGGCCCTCCTAAATTATATGAACGAACATTGGACTGCGGGCACGCTGCCCCCCCAGTGGAAGCATGCTGACATCGCCCTAATACCAAAACCCGGAAAACCGCTTGCTCCAGGTAACCTCCGACCCATCTCCCTAACGTCATGTGTGGGAAAGCTCCTGGAACATATGGTGCAAAACCGCCTCTCTCCATATATCGAAGACAACGGCCATTTCCCGACCACCATGTACGGCTTCCGACCCCATCTCTCCACCCAAGATGTCCTCTTGCAACTAAAAGAAGAAATCATCGATCGGCTCACCAGCACACACAAGCGTTGCATCCTTGCCCTGGACATCAAGGGTGCTTTTGACAACATCTCCCACCAAGCCATCCTTCAAGGACTAACGTCTATCGATTGCGGACAACGAACCTACGATTATATCACGGCTTTCCTCACCGGTCGTACTGCAACTATCGGCATCGGACATCTCCGCTCGAACACATTTAAGACCATCTCCAAAGGCACCCCTCAAGGCTCCGTGATATCACCGCTTCTTTTTAACATCGCTATGAAGGACCTTCCACCACTCTTACAAAATATCCCGCATCTAAGGCACGCAATCTACGCAGATGACCTCACCCTATGGACCCCTACGGGATCCATGGGTGAGCAACAGGACGCCATGCAAAGCGCCATCGAAGAAACACATCAATATCTCGGCGACAGGGGCCTTGAGTGTGCCCCCGAAAAATCCGCCCTCCTTACTCTCTGCACAAAGACAGCGGACCAATGTAAACGAAGCATTCTGGATCCGGAGATCACTATAGCAGGAAAACCTGTCCCCAACGTTCCCCACCTCCGTGTTCTTGGCCTCACGATCCCCCAAAACGGATCTGGTTCCCACACCATTGCACCGCTTCAACGGACACTCTCCCAACTCATGCACCTAATACACCGTGTATCAAATCGTAGATTTGGCATGGAAGAATCTGACACATTACGGATTGTACAAGCCATACTCATTAGCCGGGTCGCCTATGGCACGCCATATTTGTCCCTCAAAAGAACCGAAAAATCAAAAATTAATATTGCCCTGCGCCAAGCATACAAGACCGCCTTAGGACTACCTCCCAAAACTTCAACGAAGAATTTGTTGCTACTAGGAATTCACAACACCTGGGAAGAGTTACAAGAAGCACATCACATCTCCCAGTTAGAACGCCTTAAATTAACACCTACCGGACGAGCCACACTGAGAAAGTTAGGCTACGCGACACCCTCCTTGCAAGACCACAAAGAACGAGTACCTCTGCACCTAAGAAAAGCCATTCGTGTAGCCCAGATCCCGAAGAACATGCATCCGGTTTACAATAAGGCTCGGCGCATCGCTAGGGCACGAACCATGAACACCAAATATGGCGATAGCCCAACTGCAAGATACACCGACGCGTCCCCGTATCCGCATAAGCCAGCCCATGCTGTATGTGTAACCAATGCAGCAGGGCAAGAAATGACCGCACTCACAGTCCGCACAACATCTACAGAAGCCGCCGAAGAAATTGCCATCGCCCTAGCCGCAACGACAGGCGACGATATAATCACAGTGCTCACAGACTCTCAGGCAGCGTGTCGGAATTACCTACGGGGACGCATCTCGAAAACAGCGCTTCGCATCCTCAAGACCATCCCCCGGCTCCCCGAAGTACACCTAGTCTGGGTACCCGGACACGAACACCTCGAAGGTAATGAGGCGGCACATGCCGCTGCCCGCGCGCATACACACCGGGCCATTACCCGAGAGGGAACAACCTCACTTGTTGCCCCCACGACCGACCTGCTCATCAACTATGCCGACATACTAGCCCACTACCGTCACGACCGAAGAAAATACCCGGCACCGCACCCAAGATTATCAAGAGATGAAGCCACCACCCTCCGAAGACTGCAGACCAACACATATCCCCACAGCACCCTTCTTCACGCCATCTATCCCGCTCAATACCCCGCCACTTGTAATTTTTGTCCTTCTCCCGGCAACCTTTACCATCAGGTATGGGAATGCCAACGAACCCCGGACCTCACTCCCAAACCCACCCCATCCTACGAGCAGTGGATGGCCTGTCTGACCAGCCCGGACCCTGGGATCCAGCAAGACTTGGTGACAAGGGCCCGGATAGCCAGCCGTAGCCAGGGTATCCCGGACTAAGGATGCCCTCCACCGGGCGGGTGCCCTAACATCTGCACCTGATGCTCGATAAATAAAGGTTTATTCATCATCATCATCATTTCCGCGTGGTGGCGCGAGCGTAGATAAACATGGCGGCGCCCTGGAATTGGCGCGGACACTGGTCTATAGCGAGTTATACACTCCATTCCACTGTAAACGCGAGCAATGTAATAGCGAGCACAACATTGCCAACTTGGCATGCACGGACGCCCGTGCCGTGGAGGTAAAGGCCCCTACGCACTGTTGCGTTTGAGAGCGTTTAACTATGTTGCGTCGAGAAACGAAAGTGAGTGCCCTGCACATCTGTACTTCGTATGAAGCGTGGAATCCAATTCAACGAATTGCTTGGCGTACGACAAAAGAAGTATGGATGTCCTCCGTTCTCGCAGTCGCAACACAGCGAAACGCTCTCAAACGCAACTGTGCATAGGGGCCTTAAGTCATTCAAACGGCCTGCTCCTGCTCATGCTTGAGGCATCGGCGTCGCTCCCAAGTACGGGTACGTGCGGAGTACGCGCTCTCGTCAAGTGTTGCGTACGTGCTCGCGTACCATACTTTGTTTTGCACACATAGCTTGCAACGCTGCCGCGGCTGCGGACCCGAGCGTGTGGAAATATCTATATTCAGTTTTAATATAAGTGTGACCGCAGCCAGTGCGACAAGCAGGAGTATGTTTTCTCTGACAACGCTCTTACTGGACGAGCGTGTGTGCTTAGCCCGCTCAAAGTGCGTTCGCTCTCGTAATGTCAATAGGGTCTCCTTCACTCGCCGTCTTGTTAAATAAAAACGCAAGCAAACAAAACGTTTGAGATGAACCCCACAGTCGCGCGAGCAGCTTTGTCAGCGCAAACTTTACGTGCAGGTCCGCGGAAACGGGCGTTTTAGATGGCGTTACATGATGTGCTCGCGACTAAAATCCAATCTCTTCAATCTATTACAGGACCACTTCAGTATCGACCAATTCAAAGCACTAATCATGCAAAACAAAGGAGAGCAAAAAATTCAGGAAAAATGCTGTCCCAAACATTTCTTTTTTCGTTACCTTCAACCAAGAGAGTAAACCACCACTGCAAGGGAACTGGAAATGTAAGTGGTATGCATAACATCTCACAAACCATTTTTTTTTTCATTAAGACACGTTATCTGTTTTACAATACAAATTCGATGCACAAACTGATAATTTTGGATGCGCTCCTTTACGAAATGCAGTTCCATTTATTTGTTTTGGTTGAACCCCTAAAGTCCCCGAGGCACCCCCAGCAAAACCTGAATAGTACACCATAATGCAATGCCCACAGTACTGAAACATCCCCAGAATAGACTGCTCCAGCAACCGCAGCTGTTATTTAGTTTGGCTGTCCGATACTGTTGCTTGGTCGACCGAGACACAGATCACTAGTGCCATCTCTGTCCATTCTAGGAGTGTGTGTCCTCCGGAGGGCCCCCAGCAAGGTCCAAGCGTAGCTTTTCGCTCGTGGCAATCTGCCGCAGTGACCGCAGCTGTTGGTGAGTTTGACAGTTCGATACTCTTTCCAGGTCAACTGATGCTCACCTATCACTATTGCCGTCCTCGTCGATTCTAGGCGAATGTCGTCCTCCTCAGGCCCCCACGAAATTCCAAGCGGTGCTGTACAGAGCCTAACTTTCTCAGCTTCCCTAGAGCAGCCTGGTTTGGCAAACCCCCCAGCTGCTGGTGACTTTAGCACAGGGATACTGTTTCCAAGTCGACCGAAGCACACCTACAACGACTGTCGTCTCTATTCATTTATTCATTCCAAAAGTGTGCACTGTCTGAAGAAGGTCTGAGAAGCACCTTACAGGCCCTTGCTTCTCCAGCTTGTCCTGGACAGGTTGCCGCAGCAACAGCTGATGAGTTTTCAATTTCGACTGCTGTTTATTTCTTGGCAGAGTGCAAACAGTTACACACTGTTACTTACATTCGATCTTATTGGCTCACTGTTAGCCACTTGACAAGATTAAATAATATCTTTCTTTTTTTTTTCAGGCACACTGTTTACACTTGGCAGCAGGCTGTATCATCATAGTGCCAGTCTTTCTGGTGTGCTGATGAATAACAAAGAGCTACAAAGACAACTATATTTAATGCAGATAAAACTGATATTGGCGCAACGACAAAAGAATCAGTTGCAACGTGAAGGGAACAATTTAAAATTTGGACTTAAGCGCTTTCTCGTTGCAAATCAACTTAAGTGTCTCGAAATGTTCACTATGAAGGTGACTGCATGAAGTAAAGGCATCCTCGAGAAATGTTTGAGGATTCTTCTTTCTTTTGGTTCCCATGGTTTCAATGTGATACTGGGGAATTGGGAAAGCTTTTGCCTGTAGAACGCACACTTCATTGGCATCTCCAGGACTTCAAGTTCGTGTCAGACATAATGCACAAGCTGATGGATTCTTTAGCATACAAGGTGAGTCAAACTTGCAGGATATAACACACTCATGAATCCTTATCTTGGGTATGCAACTGAAGTCAGATACCTGCAGACCCGTCTCATCAAGCAGCTCGATGTTTAACCCCATGTGGTTTGTACAATTTATTGTCTTCAGGTGTACCGTACCAGTTAAACCACTACAAGGTGTATGGGCTTTAGAAGTATTTTATGATAAGTAAAAGTAACTGCACCTGTCAGTAAAGCTACCTGCACATTTGTGAAGTGTTAAGAAAGCATTTTGATGGTGTAGGGTGTGTCTCCGTGTCGTTTATTGTTTTTTTTCTTTCTGTGATCAATTTTGTTATGTACTCGGCATGTGTTATACTTGTAGTGCATACTCCTGCCGTAACCTTTTAATGGCTGGCAGTTCTGAAATAAATACATTTGTGACTGATTCTGTTCTTTTTAACGTCATCTGTGCTGGTGTATTTTCATGGATATTTTGATCTCGCATTCGCTTTTTTAGCATTCTTCTCTAGATGAGATTTCAATACTATTATTTGCCTCATTCCCTTTTACTAAAATAACCTGCAATTGCTCGACTCTTAGATTTGATGTAGACTCCAGAATTAATATGTATGAATATTGACATGTTGAATAGAGAACTTTCAGGTCTACATTAAAATTGTATGAAAGTAAAATCTGTAAGCACTCGATTACGTGCTCAACCCGAGCGCTGGCTCCCAAGTCTGCACCAGGTTTCTAGCCCTAGGACACTAGCCCAGGGGTCTCAAAGCAGCGTTAATTGTAATTGAACCTAGATTCTTTTTTTGTGTGTGTGAACAAATAACAATACAAAAAAAACGTACATACACGGATAAAATTACAGAGTAACCAAACTAAACGAAAACGGAGTTTTCATTTCTAAAAACGGTTTCATCAAATAACATAACGAAGATAGTATTTATTACGCTCGGAAGAGTAGCGGCACACCGTAGCCCGTACCGAGAGGCCCGCGCTGTCGCAAATTTTTACAGCATGCACAAAATACACACGCACCGAAATACGTAGCGATTTTTATCATTATTAGTACTGCAGTCAGCTGAAAAATGCTAGCTTAGCGTCGACCACATCAAGGCTTCCCTGTTTAAAAACTAAATATTATCTTGTTTTCTAGGCCACCAAACTGTTTTTAGCGCCCGTGGGCCAAGCCCTCCCGAAAGCTCGCCAAGGACACATATTAAAAATTAGTGAATCATTTGAAATCGAGGCAAATATGATCGCAATTCGGCGGTTCAGTATGATGATTTAAAGCGACTTGCAATTCCTGTGAAGCCGAACACTAACGCACTCACGAGACACTAACCTAATACAACTCGGTAGGGACGATTGGGACGATTATCCAAAGCACTTTCGGGATCCACGGTTGGACGAGCAGATCTAGAGCGGCTTCAGGAAGGTGGGATGCTAATGCGGGTTCCGAATGAGGTAATATCCACAC